GATCCATTGTGTTTACTTGTTGTTTTGGTACCTTGTTGTTATTACATAATTTTGTTAAAATTTTCGTCGTGATTACTACTGAAGTTTTGTCCACTCTTCTACATCCGTGAATGAATTGATTGATGTTAAGGACAGCAGATGGGTCGTATACGCCGGGGAGGCTAGGCTATTGCTGAGAATGAAATGCACACGGAGATAATTGTTAGCTGCGGTCCGACACGCAGGGGAGAAAGAGTGTAAACGACTGAGGCTCGCATACGTCACCGTTACTAGAATTGAGGCAGAATGAGTGACAAGCGATTGCAGTGGTAATTGGTAGTGAGTAGATAAGAGGATGTGCGTAGAGTATCGTGAGGTGCTGCTATGGTCACGTTGCATTCTGCAAGAGTCATTCTAGCAAGTGGCGATTGTGTTGCAAGATGTCAAGAGGAGGTCTCTGTCTGGAGGCGCAGGTCGTCATTGATGTGCGTGATTGTTCTGTGAGTATGCTTGTGGTGTGTTGGCTTTTCTGTTTGTTTTCCATTTCAGCTCTGTCCGTGTGACCCAGGTTCTCGCAATGGCATCCAAGTCAACATGTATTCGTCGTGATGGAAAAAAGGAATAGATCCTTTTTTGCCGGGGAGTGTCAATGGAGTTGAAGATTGAACGATCAATTCATGGTTGTCTGCTCAAAACCAACTTCCCCAATTTTCGCGGAGGCATCGATACACCAGTCATCGTCTCATCGGTCGCTGTTCAGAAAGAAGTCAGCAGAAAACCGTCAGAAGTAATATTGTGATTTATTAATGTAATATTTGTCCATAGACCTTAGTTGTAACATTGTTTATATGTTGGTGTTACAATAAGGAATCCTCGAGTCGCCAATTGGTGTTTTGGTTTTTGCGTCCGTATTACTAAGCGTTTCTGAGAAACTTCAAGGAACAGCGTGAGCCCGAGTGCAGCAAGAGCTGAGGATTAACGGTTTACGAGTTGTGGCTGACAACCTCATCAAATGCATTAACTTCATTTCATCATTTAATAAAAAGCCACTGAACATGATTTCAAATTCCCTTACAAACTGTAATAATCGGCTGGGTTTGCGTCGAAACACTGTGGTTCAAATCTGGGGAGTTTGACGTTCCTATTATCCTTGAACGGCGAAACAGTAACATCAACCATGTCATGCTTAACATCAGACACATCGTTACATGGCAGGAATTGTCTAGCTGGAAGCCGAAAGGAAGTTATTTAAATGGAAGCAGAATGAAGGCAGTTCTTACTAGTCCAGCACACGCTCTGGTGTTTTTCTTCAAAGGCATGTATACCGCATAGCGAGTAAGGTAAAATTACCAGAAAATATAACATGCTGCGGCCTTGAGGTCTTGCAAATGATGGTGAGTAGAATCCCACTACGGTGTATTTGCTTAGCTAGCATAACTAGTAGTGTTCCCTATTGGAAAAATCAGATATTACATGCTTTTGTCGCTAAATCTTTATGAATGAACCAGAGAATAGACTTGGTGAGTGTATATGACTCCACTCTTTTCATTAAACTGTACTTATTCTTTGAGAATCTAATCACCATAGTATTTCTAACTATGGTAAGAGAATATAGAGATTTATTACCCTAAAAGTCGGACAAGTAGACGGAGGCAGCTGTGAAAGATTTTAAATTGTCATGAACTCCCTGCAAGTCGCCTGACATATCTCATATTTTATATTCCAGCCATATCAGGTAGAAATGTGGGATTCACGCGGCAAGTTCGCATGAACCAGGTATATTCGAAACGGTGCAAAGTGTGGGCGCTGAACTGATCAAAGGGTTCCAAAACCCCACGTATAACGAGAGATTGGACAGAGTGGATTTATTTCCGCGTTTATACTGGTAACCGACGGGTGACTTGATTTTAGCATCTCTTACTCCATATGAAGATTTGGATGCTATGTATGTTGGAAAGTTAGTCTCTCGCACCGAATTCGAGGCAGATTTCAGGTTTGTTGGTTGAATACAGAGGTCTTGAAGCTAATGTTACTCCTTTTCTAGTAAATTTATGTGCCTGTCTAACCCCCTTCAGTTAGTCAGTCGAAGACTCTGACACACTCCTTCTGCGAGCCGGTTCTAGGAGTTAATGACTTGGTATGAGAACCAGTGCTTCACAGTGATGTGGTCCTTTCATGGCTTTTGAGCTCCCTTGCTGTGCTCTCGAAGGTGCTCCGATCTAGTGGGCAGGAAGAGAGAGAATAAATCAGGTCTGAGGTCATTTTTAAGATTTTAAACATGGTAATAAAATGTCCTTTCTGCCTACGGTGTGACAGTGCGAAGGATTTCAACTGTCTAGTCCATCCTCGTATGATAATAATAATAATAATAATAATAATAATCACTTTATTCCACAACAATAAAAATTTTACAGCATGGAATTTTCAGCGTTTCTTTTACATATTGCAATGGTTTAGCTCTGTTTATAATTATATAAATATATAAAATGTTAAAATATTGATAGTTAATAGGAAAAAATAATAAAAAAAATAAATAAAAATAAAAAACCCAACAAAATCATACCATTTCTAGGTCATAGTGAATAATAAATAAATAATATAACAAATAACACTTGCATTAATATGCATCATTACATTTTATAGTTTAGTTACTGATTCAAAAGTTGTAAAAGTTCTTTTCTGATATTTGTCTCTTCACACAATACTCGTGCCAAATATGGAACGGTCGAATTTTTATATTTTGTAGTACGAGCATAAATGTTTATAAAATTTCTTCTGGTCTTACCCGAAGAGATACAAGGAAACAATTGTGAATAAAGAGGATGTTCACTATCAGATAAGATAACTTTAGCTAAGTGTTTACAAGAATTCATATGCCTATTGACAACAGTGTCATTTAGTTGAGTCAAAGGGTTAAGCCAGGAATAATACATGTTGCCTTCATTTAAAACTTTGGCAGAGTGTATGAGTTCCCCTCTGGGACAAGGACTGACGCGGCTGGAGCGGATTCTATGGGCAGTGAAGTCTCTGGAGAAGTGGTCTTCCATCGTTTCTGCTTCCTCTTGGTCTTCTTCTATTGTGTCCTTATCAATAGTCAGGTTCAGGACCCCGATGGATGTCCTATTCCCGAGTTCCGTGTACAAAAACATTCCCTTAGGATATGCTGTTGCATTTTGGGCTAGATACAATTTGAAGTCCACTCGTGATTGACGAATGCCTGGAGTAGCTTTGTTCCAGGTGGCGGTATACGGCCTTCTCAGTTGTCTTAGAAGTCTCAGGTGTGGTAAACAGACTCCATCACTGGTGCTTACGCCTGAGTAACTCACGAATCTCTGGGTTTATCCGTGGGGACAATGTTTTTAAACCATTTAGGACAGACAGACGAGTGAAATTTAAGGTTATCTAAGCGTAAAGTTGCTTGAGTTTGCTTCGTGTGGCTTCTATGTGAGATTCCGGATTATGTGTCCAGTCCGGTGATTCAGCAGCTGAAGCGATGGCTTTTGATCAGCTTTCCAGAAGTTCGGTCGAGTTGACGTTATGGCTGATGGTACCTTTGGGGCTGTGAGTGTGAAGGTGAGCACAGGGTGATCAATTCTTTGAAGGGGTGGGGGACGAATGAGGTTCATATAGTTTCCATCGGAGAAAACCACGCCCAAGGCTGAGGGGGAGTTCTGCGAGTCACAGTGCGTAGGTTTCGTGATATGTTACACTAAGGGTAGTAAAGTAGTAGATGCCAACCGTTTATGGTCAAGCAAGGCTTCTGATGGTGGCGTTTAAAGGCTTCTCTAGTCACCTGTCGGAGCTGTCAACTTCGAGACTGCAACATTTAAATGTCCATGAGTCTAGTTCCCCGATTAGAAAGACGTCTGTATGCAATCGGGACTGCGGTTTACACCAATAGGCCGAAATATTGTCCTATGCATTTAAGTATGCAGCGCAGAAGTTCCCATGTTCCACCTTTATGTATGAGAAAGCTTCCGTGCTGTGCAAGGCTATGGATTCATTGAGGTTGATCACTGCGCCACCGCCTTTGCGGTTTACGCAGTCTCATATATGCTCTGTGAAATGTGGGAGTTTAATGTCATTTTCAGAAATATAGAAACTAAAATGAGAATGATAAAAGCGATTTCAGAGACTCCAAACTGACCCTGCTCAGTCCAAACATTTCACTGTGACGATTGATGCACACATTCATTAACTGCATTACAGTGATTCTGAATTAGTCATTAGTAATACATAAGTTCAAATAATAGACTTTTAATTAATCAACGACATATACTTTTTACTGTCTGAATACATCCTAATAGGTCTTTTCATCAGAAGTCTTTTACTGGACTGGAATCCTTGTTGGAAAAGAAGCGGCTGAATTCACAGTCTGTATTTTACTGCGGTGAGTTACCTGCGTCCTGCCCAACCTCCTTGTTAACGAATTTTTCGAAGTCATTCATTGCATACTTATATGTTTTATATTAGAACTGTTACAGTACTGTTCATTTTAAATATCATGCAAAGCGTATAAGTTGTGTAGACTGCAGGAATCCGTTTAATGGGACTTCCGATTTTTCCGGGTGACATGAGTTTTAAGGGTTCTTCGTATTGCCCAGATGACGTGAAAAATTTATTGTTGTGATTCTTCTTCCTCCTATGTCCCTATTTCCGTACCTAATAATCGTATATTATTTGCAGATCACTAAGCAGTTCCTGGCAGTCAAGGCCCCTGCCATTGATGAGATTTCGGTAGTTAGCGAGGTGTGGACTACTGGTAAATCATTGATTATCCCATGATCTTATTCGTGTGCTGGTCATGTGACGTGCAGAGGTTGCCCCGGTTTCGGAACGCTACAATAACGCCACATTTTTACTACTGTTCAGTTCCAGATAATTTTGAGGAGGTAGTTGCAATGAAAACTGCAGCAGAAGCTTTACACACATCAATTAGGGGTTCGTCACCTGAGGACACGGAGCCTGCAAGCCAATGCAGGGTCAACCGGTAAGCTATTATTCTTGACTGATCTTCCCAGTGTTTCCAAACCGACAAGAAAAGTTTTGGAGGATGCTACCCCTTTGAACCATCCATCTCGGTTGTTGGCTGACCGAGAATTTCAGTTCGAGACATCTGATTTCCGAAAGCCACCCACTGTGAACACAAATGAAAGGTATATTACAGTTAACTTGACATGTAAGTTCAATTTCATTCCAAATATTGCCTGCAGGCATGTACGAGATTGGCAAAGCTGCCCAGATCGCAAACGAAATGAAAAGATACGAAATTTAAGTACTGGGGATATGTGAAAGCAGATAGAACGGGAATGGACTCACCAAATAGTCAACGGGTGAGTCAGTGATCTACTCCGGTCACCCAGAAGATAACCACACGCACACCGAAGGCGTGACTATCATGATATCACCAACAGCAATAAAGGTCCTGATACAATGGGACGCGATCTCGTCCAGGATAATGACCGCCAGATTCAACTCCAAAGGAAGGAAAGTGTCAACTATACAATGTTATGCACCCACAAACAACGCAGACCTCGAAAAGAAAGAAGAATTCTACAGACAACTACAGGCAACAATGGACAATACTCCAGCTGGTGACATTAAAATACTATTGGGAGACATGAACGCCAAACTGGAACCAGACAACACAGGAAGGGAACTTATCACGGGTAGAGAAGCTCTCGGAGAAATGAATGAAAATGGAGAACTCTTCGCCGACTTCTGCGCCCTCAACGAACTAGTGATTGGTGGCAGCGTATACAAACACAAAGATACCCACAAGGCTACATGGGTATCACCAGATGGGCAAACCAAAAACCAAATCGACTTCATCTCAATCTCAATGAAGTGGAGGTGCAGCCTACTGGACACAAAAGTAAGAAGAGAAAACGTTGGCTCAGACCACTATCTCGTACAAGGGACAATCCAAATCAAATTAAAAGCTTTCTGCAAAGCAACACATGCAGATAGACCACAAGCCTAGTTCAAAAGCTGAAGGACCAAGATACAAAGGACATCTTCATTGCAAGCATAAGGGACAAAGCCGAGTGTTGATTTGTGAGAAGGCTCAAAAAAGGCGCATAATTGTAAAAAACGGTTTATATAAAAGTAATGCAATCATAATAAACAGTTACAGAGGATAGCGTTCGCATATATGTTGCAGAAAAACCTCCCAGTTTCTCATGGGAGTCTTCATAGTCATATTAAACCAGTTTCGGTACATAAATTCATCCAGGTAACTGTAAATCATGGGATTTCTCGGTCCATTAACCGCTCTTATACGTCTTTTTAGACGACTCCAAAAACTTTCGATGGAATTGGTGTGGGTTCCATCCAAAGGATTCCGGAAACCGTCCGTATGATTAACAACATGATGAATGTACCCATGATTCGATAATTGACGGTATCCGCTCCATTCATCTGTATGAATAGTCGTCCCCGGCAACACCAAACGCTTAATAATAGGCACTAATACTGCTGCACTGCGATTGGGAATCGCTTCTATATACCCTTTGCGCAGTGTCGTGTCGTAGATACCCAGTATCCACTGCTGGTTTGCTTGTAATCTCCCGCGGTTGTATTTCCTTTTAATAAGTACAGTCTCATCAATATGGACGATCCTGCCGACTCCTCCGAGAACTTGAGTCAGGGTGTTCATTTTCCAGTAGGAAACATCTCTGCAGTAGTTGTACCATTGCACTGCCGACACCTCTGAATTTTCTGTTTCATAAGCTGTAGCTGTAACTGGTCTTTTCAGGACACAGAAGTTACAGATCATTAAAATTTTCGTCAGAGGTAGTTTAGAAGTTCCTAAGTGTATAGATCCTTCAGGAACTTCTAAACTACCTCTGACGAAAATTTTAATGATCTGTAACTTCTGTGTCCTGAAAAGACCAGTTACAGCTACAGCTTATGAAACAGAAAATTCAGAGGTGTCGGCAGTGCAATGGTACAACTACTGCAGAGATGTTTCCTACTGGAAAATGAACACCCTGACTCAAGTTCTCGGAGGAGTCGGCAGGATCGTCCATATTGATGAGACTGTACTTATTAAAAGGAAATACAACCGCGGGAGATTACAAGCAAACCAGCAGTGGATACTGGGTATCTACGACACGACACTGCGCAAAGGGTATATAGAAGCGATTCCCAATCGCAGTGCAGCAGTATTAGTGCCTATTATTAAGCGTTTGGTGTTGCCGGGGACGACTATTCATACAGATGAATGGAGCGGATACCGTCAATTATCGAATCATGGGTACATTCATCATGTTGTTAATCATACGGACGGTTTCCGGAATCCTTTGGATGGAACCCACACCAATTCCATCGAAAGTTTTTGGAGTCGTCTAAAAAGACGTATAAGAGCGGTTAATGGACCGAGAAATCCCATGATTTACAGTTACCTGGATGAATTTATGTACCGAAACTGGTTTAATATGACTATGAAGACTCCCATGAGAAACTGGGAGGTTTTTCTGCAACATATATGCGAACGCTATCCTCTGTAACTGTTTATTATGATTGCATTACTTTTATATAAACCGTTTTTTACAATTATGCGCCTTTTTGAGCCTTCTCACAAATCAACACTCGGCTTTGTCCCTTATGCTTGCAATGATGATGTCCTTTGTATCTTGGTCCTACAGCTTTTGAGTGTTGAACTAGGCTTGTGGTCTATCTGCATGTGTTGCTTTGCAGAAAGCTTTTAATTTGATTTGGATTGTCCCTTGTACGAGATAGTGGTCTGAGCCAACGTTTTCTCTTCTTACTTTTGTGTCCAGTAGGCTGCACCTCCACTTCATTGAGATTGAGATGAAGTCGATTTGGTTTTTGGTTTGCCCATCTGGTGATACCCATGTAGCCTTGTGGGTATCTTTGTGTTTGTATACGCTGCCACCAATCACTAGTTCGTTGAGGGCGCAGAAGTCGGCGAAGAGTTCTCCATTTTCATTCATTTCTCCGAGAGCTTCTCTACCCGTGATAAGTTCCCTTCCTGTGTTGTCTGGTTCCAGTTTGGCGTTCATGTCTCCCAATAGTATTTTAATGTCACCAGCTGGAGTATTGTCCATTGTTGCCTGTAGTTGTCTGTAGAATTCTTCTTTCTTTTCGAGGTCTGCGTTGTTTGTGGGTGCATAACATTGTATAGTTGACACTTTCCTTCCTTTGGAGTTGAATCTGGCGGTCATTATCCTGGACGAGATCGCGTCCCATTGTATCAGGACCTTTATTGCTGTTGGTGATATCATGATAGTCACGCCTTCGGTGTGCGTGTGGTTATCTTCTGGGTGACCGGAGTAGATCACTGACTCACCCGTTGACTATTTGGTGAGTCCATTCCCGTTCTATCTGCTTTCACATATCCCCAGTACTTAAATTTCGTATCTTTTCATTTCGTTTGCGATCTGGGCAGCTTTGCCAATCTCGTACATGCCTGCAGGCAATATTTGGAATGAAATTGAACTTACATGTCAAGTTAACTGTAATATACCTTTCATTTGTGTTCACAGTGGGTGGCTTTCGGAAATCAGATGTCTCGAACTGAAATTCTCGGTCAGCCAACAACCGAGATGGATGGTTCAAAGGGGTAGCATCCTCCAAAACTTTTCTTGTCGGTTTGGAAACACTGGGAAGATCAGTCAAGAATAATAGCTTACCGGTTGACCCTGCATTGGCTTGCAGGCTCCGTGTCCTCAGGTGACGAACCCCTAATTGATGTGTGTAAAGCTTCTGCTGCAGTTTTCATTGCAACTACCTCCTCAAAATTATCTGGAACTGAACATTAGTAAGAATGTGACGTTATTGTAGCGTTCCGAAACCCGGGGCAACCTCTGCACGTCACATGACCAGCACACGAATAAGATCATGGGATAATCAATGATTTACCAGTAGTCCACACCTCGCTAACTACCGAAATCTCATCAATGGCAGGGACCTTGACTACCAGGAACTGCTTAGTGATCTGCAAATAATGTACGATTATTAGGTACGGAAATAGGGACATAGGAGGAAGAAGAATCACAACAATAAATTTTTCACGTCATCTGGGCAATACGAAGAACCCTTAAAACTCATGTCACCCGGAAAAATCGGAAGTCCCATTAAACGGATTCCTGCAGTCTACACAACTTATACGCTTTGCATGATATTTAAAATGAACAGTACTGTAACAGTTCTAATATAAAACATATAAGTATGCAATGAATGACTTCGAAAAATTCGTTAACAAGGAGGTTGGGCAGGACGCAGGTAACTCACCGCAGTAAAATACAGACTGTGAATTCAGCCGCTTCTTTTCCAACAAGGATTCCAGTCCAGTAAAAGACTTCTGATGAAAAGACCTATTAGGATGTATTCAGACAGTAAAAAGTATATGTCGTTGATTAATTAAAAGTCTATTATTTGAACTTATGTATTACTAATGACTAATTCAGAATCACTGTAACAAAATTTTCAAAGTTAACTATTTTCGGTCGAGAAACTATATTTAGGTTACTCTTTCTCTCTGAGATCTAGGGAATGGCTGTTCCTGCGAATGCTTTTACTAGTCTGTAATGAGACCTATGTCTGCCGCAGATTTTCTGCAATGTGTTTGAAATTGTTGCTACCTGAGTGTTGACCTAGTAAAATATCTTATACATCGCTGTTTCCTTTATTCATAGCATAAATGTACCCAAATAATGCTGTATTTGTAATCTTCTATGTTTTCAATAGTCCAGCAAGATTTTTTGTGGTTTTTTCTAAATACTAGTAATATATCCTATACCTTCAGTGTACTTGAGTTACTGTGGCTTGTTATATATTCCAAATGATGGTAAAGGCTGCAGTCTTTCTCACGCTATACCCCATGTTCTCACTCCATACAGAAGTGAATGTTTAAACTGAATATGAATTCAAATTTATCAAGGGGAATAAATGCATGCATAAATATAGACATCTGTATTTTACGTAACCATGTGAAAGAAAACCAAATTTGGCATACCAACAAATTCAGACCGACAATAGTCGACATAATCAAAACTAACTTAAGGGTCTACTGTTACTTATATTTTTTTCTCAGAATCCTTACAGCAATTTCAACCTTGATTCAGCTCTGGCTAGCATTAACCCAGCACTTGTCTCACTAGTTAGGTTTCCAGTGGGATTTTAAAGCACTGTCCGCAATAATTCTTTACATACTAGAGTTTTTAAGCACACAAAATATTCATAGATGACGCATATTTCAGGATTAGTTTAGCATTAATGCAAGTTTGGGGATGGAACAGCAGGAAAGTATATTGGACTACGACATTTGCACTTTTCTTTCTGAAAGCTCTTCACTCTACTTTGTCTTGGTCCTAAATGTGTCTGGTATTCAAAAAGCGACGTTTTAAGGTTAACTGTACAGTGATCCCTGTTGTCCAATGCGATGTATAATGTTAACGTCATACATACTTGAACAATAATGGAAAAGTTAACTTTTTTAATGCACATTTTTGAATCATTAGAGTTAACATCCTAAAAAGGACTGGCTTGTGTTTTGCGCTTTTAATTTACTGGTGCATACTATATTAAAATTACTAAAACATTGAGACTAATTTTATTTTGAGTGTTCTATGGTTATGTAGTATCCTTATCACGTGTAAAATGTGTCGCCTTTTAAACTAAAGATGCAATTTATTTAATCTTTGTAGTTTTGTGTAGTGGGCTGTTAGACGTCGAACCTGATTTCATAACTTCAGAAAGTAAAACAGTTTTCAAACTATTACTTGATATGTCGAGTGAAGTTTCTGTGTCGGTCGGTTACGGTTCCACAGTTTTATGATCCTAACTGTACTAAGTAAAGATTTGGGTTATAAGGTTTTAAAATACCTTGTCTATTAACTATGTACACCAGTTTAGAGTTAATTATAACTGATATTAGGTAAAGAATGTCTAACTGTAAGAGTATTGACCGACGCCTCTTTCCACTGACCCTTCCATATAATTTTGTTTTCTATCAATATGTTTAATGATTTTCTTTTCTTCAATCCTAGGATGTCTCAGTAAAGTGAATTCTTGGCATGTTAAGGATATGTTATTGTCTGACAAAATGCAAGTTAACCTTGAATGCTATTCCATCCAGATTGTATTGTAACCAAAAACAATGGCTCTTCAGTGAACATGATCTATCTGAAATGTATGTTCGAGGATGGGGCCCAGGCGGTCAGTCAATTAATACAACAGCAAATTGTGTTGTTTTGAAACATATTCCTACTGGTATCGTGGTGAAATGTCAGGTAGTCATCATTTCCATTTTTTTTTAAACTCTAGTTTATTTTTCACATTCTAATGCAACAGAGTGTTTGTACATTTAATTTGTCTACTTTTTTTAAAGCGTAGATTAAGTATGCAGGTAAAACTAGTGATTGATAAACTATAATTTACACAGAAGTGACATACATAACTCAATCATAAACTATGAACTCCTGCTAATAATTATCAACTTGTATTCCCGCTTACTACGACAAAAAATGTAATTCCATTTATTCATTGAATGGTGAAGATATCTCAAAGATAATTTATGTCAGTATGGAATTGATACCCTTGGATTTTACGTATCGACTTCCGTTTTCGTATTGTCCTTTTTTAAAGTTAATTGTGGTATTTTTCTCTGTAGTACTCACTGTTTAGAATTAAAACGTTCTCCCACAGTTTTATGCATGATCTTGGTATATATGCTGGTTACAGGATTTCATCATGAGCTGACATCAGTTTGTCTGTTAAATTGTAAATCTAAAGCTTAACAGTTTGGTTGGAAAGTATGAAGACCCGTACTCCTTATCGAATAACACATTAGGTCGTTCTAATTAAGGCGTTTCATGTATTACCGAGCGATGCTGGGGACATCACTCGTACCTAATTCCCATGAAACTTCATGAACTCTCTTACAAACGACTATCGCCGCGCCTGGGCAGTGATGATTCGAGATGTTCATGAAGCCGGCTCATCCTCCCGTAGGAGATAGCCGAAGTAAAGTAAAGTAAGTAAGTTTCATGTATTACTGTTATTGCTATTTTCTTCAATATCTTTAGGATTACCTTTGTTCTAGACCACTGCACCGTTCGAACAGGCAATACACTGTGTTAGCTAGCTATCCGTTTCGTAGACATTGACGTTGAATTTATGTCATCAAAACAAATATTTTATTATAGAAATCTGATTCTCTACAGCACAAATAACCGTTCTTATTTCAAAATATAAATAACCATGTAATTGTTTAAAGCAGAGTTTAAATGATATACATCTCGTTACAGAACAAATAAACGAGGTGTCGAATTTCAGAATGTTTTCGCGAAAACTGCTTTTTTTAAGCGTTAAATGTTTAAATCAAATAAAACTTCTTTTCAAAGTGATTAATTTTATCATAAAGAAAATTAAAACAGAAGTGTAACTGTTGTAAAAGTAGTGTTCACAAGGCATTATTATTACCATTAATCTTTACTAGCTGCCTGATCGGGGTGATATAAGCACCCGACTGCTGCTCACCTTGTTTAGATATGTGTCCAGCAGAGACTTAGGGATGGGCGTGCTACCAGGGAATAGTCTTGTTAACTTAGACTATGTACATGATATAGTCCTCCTAGAAGACACTGATAAAATGTACAGTCATATGGACACACGTTGGGTAGAAATCTTCTAATGTTTGTCAGGCAATTCGCTCCTGTTAAGTGTAAGATGAGGCTCCAGGACCGGACTCCTAGCTTAAAGTTTAGCGAGTGAAGTGACTGATGGAGCATATTGACCATTTCACTTATTTGGGTGAATTGCATCACGTATAACCGACTGAAAGCTGACGAAATCTCGTCATGGATGAAGAAAGCTCGTCTGGGATTCGCCAATCTGTATCATATCTGACGTATACGTGATATCTGGTTACCAATCAAAGGGTGTGTGTACTGCTCAGCAGTTCTCTCCGTCCTCTTTTATGGCTTTGAGACATAGTCGTAGAAAATGAGAGCCATGAAAAGCCTGACTAGTTGTCTTTAATCAGAGGCGTCTGTCTACTATCTCCCATGTTAGGTGGTATAATCGGGTGATTAATACTGAGGTTAGGTGTGGAATGTTAGGTTAGGAAGTTGAGTCGATCGATGAGGGTTGTGAAACACCATCGATTGAGGTTCCAGTACATGTGTTACTCAGACCTCGTCATCGGCGTCCTCGTTGGGCAATTTTATCTGATATAGGATCGGATTGCGGAAGAGCTATTGTTAGTCAAACAGAAACATGACATCAGTCCGGGTATATATCCAATAAAACTCCGTAGTTTTTCCGTGTAACTATTCTTCCTCCCTCATATTTCTGCTCATTATCGTCTTTTTAAATCTCTTTTGTCTTTCTTTGTATGTAGTACATAAAATATGTCAACTTAAACTGCTGTACTTCTGCGCAAAGTTCTATGTGTGATGAAACCAGTCAGTATCCATCAGTTGTTTATCTGATTCTGTTCATATAGCCCTTTCAATTTCATTGATAAGGAATAAACAGAATACTGAGCATGCAAAGACTGTTTTAACGCAATATGAGAAACTCGAGTAATAAAATATTTGTGAGACTGAGATTAATGAACTGTCTCGTTCCAGTGTAGGTTATCCGTTTGACGGTCGGACTGAATAGCAATGATAAAGAATTATAATCCAGCTAATAGCTTATTAATATTATTTTAATGTATGGTGACAGAAAAAAAGTTTTACTTTTGTATGAAAAATTATTATTATTCCCTTGGGTTCCTAGTGAAACATAGGGAGGACAACGCATCTCCACTTTGTTCTACTTGGTACTGTCGTCTTAAGCTGGGTTCACGATTGCTCATAATCTCTCATCTCTTCCATGTCACCTTCGCACTGACGACCCACTCGTCGCTTTTCATTGGGATTCTACTTGAGCGATGGCCTGCATTGCACGCGATGTCATTCGACGGCTCCCTCGGTATGTGTGCCGGGTCCATCTCCATTTTCTCCTACATATTTGTTGATGAATCGGCGCTCGCCTGTTTCTTGTTGTCTACTTTTTCTGGCCAGCCGGCCATATGATCTTTAGTATGGAGCCAGCCAGCGAAGGTGGCAGCTATTGTTAAAAAGTCTAACTTGTTGGAAATCGTTTTCGTGACCAGGGTGCAATAAAAGTTTCTGACCCGTTTAGGAGAAATGACTGACTTGACATATATGTTGAAAAGCTGGATGTTGGTTTTTTATGCTGACTGAGTATGACAGTAGAAGATTTCCAAACTGGTTTCCAGTTGATGAATGCGTATATCTGCTTGTAGATAGGTAATATAAATTACTGAAGACAAAATATACACGACTGGAGAGATCTCAACAAGTTAAATCACTGGAAATGTACATACATTTATCTTATTTCATATTTTATTAACATTCAACTGTCTCATATAAAATGCTTTACTCTTCTTTCTTTGTTTCTTCTCTTATTGACTTTATAGGACAGTAGAGAATTGGAAAGAAATCGTGAATTAGCCCGTCGAAGATTAAATGATAAACTCGATGTATATTACAATGGTGAAGAGAGTACTATTGAACAAATTCGTCAAAAAGAAAAATTAAAAGAAGATCAACGGTATTTAAAATCAAAAAAACGTTTAGCTGCAAAAATGGCTTTTAAAGAACGTGAAGGTTTGACAAAGAAATCCTCTACTAAGAGTAGTAGTAGTAGTATTACTGATAGCGATAGTACAGAAAACAATACAGAGCATAACTGACCCTTCTTTCCCATTTCAATCTTAGAAATGATTTCTCTTCTTTCTGTATATATATTAAATACTTTTCAAAATTTCAGCGCTATTTTTGTCTATCCGGGTTTTCATTGAGGTCGTGGAGTTACATAGATTCAAAATGGCTAGGACATGTGTTAGGCATGCATCCCTAGCAATCGTCTTCCCCGACAAGCACTTTTAGCTGACATAGAGTAAAACGTCGGAAAAGACATAGTGGTATTACTTACTTTACTTCGGCTTTCTCCTACGGGAGGATGAGCCGGCTTCATGAACATCTCGAACCATCGCTACCCAGGCGCGGCGATCTGATGCAAGGTTTTGCGACAGTGTTATCCATTTCTTGTTCTACAGACGGAGTCCGTAGACGGTTTGTAGCCCCAGGCACTTCACATCAGCCTTGACTGTACAAAGCCATGTTTTCAGCTGTCCACCCCTGCGACATCGCCAAGATGGAAATGGCGAGGGATTTAGAACTGATTTGACCAGATCGTCATCTGGTCGGCGCAGAACATGGCCAAACCACCGAAGGCGACGTTGTTGAACCAGTACTGGAATTTGGTTGATTTTGTAGAGAGTTCATGAAGTTTCATGGGAATTAGGTACGAGTGATGTCCCCAGCATCACTCGGCCTTTTGTTTGAGAGTGCAGCTCTAGCCTTTACACAACCAAGTGTGACCTACAGTGCAGTAGGAGTGGAGTAGGTAGTACACTATCCATTAGCAGCCGGTGACCGGAGTCCGGTTCATACGCTTTTTTGAATGGGGCCAGACATCCAGGGCATCCAATAAGCCCTTTGTCCATACGTCTGCCGGTGAGCTTCATACACCAGTCGTTGGAGGTTTGGAATCAAGGTTTAGCCATCTCCCCTAGACTGTCATCCAATAGACAGTCAACCCGGTGAAGAGCGCCGGGCATCCGCTTTTGCCCTCTCACTTCGGTGAAAAACACCTCCGCCACGTGAAGGCAGTGAGTAGGACTTCCTCAGGAGAGGCTATGTAAGACGCCCGGTCATATGGGAGCATTTCAAAAGGTGTACGAAGGGGTGGCCAACCCGCAGCGCAAGGCACCCACCCCGACCATCCTGAGGCTTTGGAGGTGCAAGTGCATGAAATCCATAACAGTTAGTATGAGCCACATAGGGAGGTCTAGGCTTCATCTTTGGGGTACCAAGGACTAGAGACAGTTAATGATATGGTTCGAAATCGTTCTCAGTGATGGCTGGCGCGGAAGCATTCACTCCTTGTGACTTATAATATCCTATAAAACAGTTGTTCTTTTCCCTCACACTTCCGTTTATTATCTCTCTTTATTCCTCTTCTCTTGCTTTGTGTACTAAATGGAGTGTGATAGTTCGAATTGCTACACATCTGTGCTAAGTTCTATGTTGGAACCAGTCAGCCAGGTGATGTAAAGAATTTTTAGCACTGCGATACTTATTCAGTGTTTATTTGTATTGGACTGTTGTAAGTAGTCATTGATTAGCCCAGTATACAATAAGGGGGATAAGTTTTCTTGTGATATATATAATTATAGAGGCATTAACTTGACTAATTCAATATTTAAAGTTCTAGGCTCAATAATCATGCTTGAATTAAGTAATGCTCTCGAGAAACAAACGTGAGAATATACCAGATAGGCTTATGACGAAAAAGAGGGTGTACCGATCATATTGTCATCTTTTGGTAGAGTCTAAACATAGACATAGTTGGTGGTGTCCAACAATTGTCATATTTCTTGACCTGAAAGCGGAATTCGACTCCGGCCACTGAGAATATATATATATACATTGAAGTTCGGGCAGCTGCTAAAATGAATTTCGTTGGGTAGCTTAGTACGAAGTTGCGTCCTACGACGTGAGCCGTACTTTACATCTGAAAACCATGATAAATATCAGTGAAGAAAGCACTTCTTTTTATTCGATTTTGATTTTCTTGTTGAATGATTGGAAGAAAATGTTTGGATTCCTCAGAAATCGTCGAAGCGTCCTTACTTAGTAGAGCCGGACATATGGGTCTAATCCACCAGCAGGAAAATCAAATTTGAATTAGAAACAAATAGTAACTGATGCCTATTGCGTATTGTGGTGGCTGTCGTGGTCTGTCTGTGCATATAACACTAGTCTTTGAAATGATGGGTACTGGGTTCCAGTCTCAGTGGGAATAAAGTCACACTTACTGGGGAAAACAGGAACATTCACTTACTGACGAGTCCCAAATAGGACCAAATATGGCGTAATCTGGTGAATTCAGTTGTCACTCATCACCCACCAAATTACTTCAATATAAGGGAAGTTTAAAACTACCATTGATCGCTCAAGATAGCGTAATCAAAACGGCGATATTTAACACAAGATACTTTCCCAACTGTTATAACTGTAGGGAATTGAATGAAGACGTTTTCACCTTGCTCTGTCTGCGCCTGAACTAATCTGCCTATCTGCTTGTCGTACCTTTCGATTTAGTCAAGCACGCAAATATCAAAAGACAAAGGCTGGACTGTGACTGTGTATTGAAGTGCAACAACGACAAAGAAAGCCATGGTATTTATACATTTTACAACAATATGGACAGCTAACAGCATTTGAAATAATTTATCTTAATAGCCAATAACAAAGTGCGTGAGAGATGATAATATACCATACGTGCGAGATTGACAGTCAATAACAAAATGTGTGGGAATGATAATATACCATATATACAAGATTAACAGTAAATACCAAAATGTGTGAGAATGATAATATACCATATATACAAGATTAACAGTAAATACCAAAATGTGTGAGAATGATAAAATGTGTGGAATGATAACATACCATATATGCAAGATTAAACAGTCAATACCAAAATATGTGGGATCCTATCACCTCTCCCCGTAAAGATTGTAGGACTTGCTTTTTGGATCTATTTGAAAAGGTTTCGGAGCTCTTCTTTGTCGAGTTGACCTTTGCGTGGTACTGGATAGAGCGTGATCTGTGTGTCTGACACATAACTGTCCTTTTTCATTCGTACGATAATGCAGCAAGAATTTATCCAAAATTTCTTCTGTTGTTCCCTCCCCCTTCGCTTTTGCATAAGCACGCTTAAAGGTGTCGACGAAACGTTCAGTCTGTCCATTCGATTGGGGATGATACGGGGGGCTACGAATATGCTGGATGCCAAACAGTTTGCAGCAACCAAGTTTGTCCTGGCAGACAGAAGCGTGCTTTTGACGAAGGCGTTGCAAGAGAGATTGATCAGATACATCTCCGGGAACAACGTTGTGTGGTGAGGACGAAACATTAGAGCATACGGAATTTAATGGTACATTAAAGATATGGAGCTTGTCTAACCAGTCAAGACCAAGCAAATTCAAATCATGGTAGTTTGTAACGTAACATACACCATTGAAGTGATGCTCACCAAACTGAACCTGGCAATTTATCTCACCCACGAGTTTCAGTATATCTCCAGAGACATTCTTGGCGACATGCTCGGTCGGCAGAATCTGTGGGCAACCAAGTTTGCGCCACGTAGTTCGGGAAATTACGGTGATATCTGATGCCGTATCCAACTGAAGACGAATACGTTTGCCGTTAATATCTAGTGTTATGTACTTACGTTTGCTGGCGAACTCGACTTTGGAAGTTGTATAAATGGTCTGTACTCGAGGAGATTGTTTCGGCTCGAAACGACTACTTCTGTTCCTCACCGAAGGATTTTTCTGCGGTGAACAGTAACCCTCCTTATGTCCAAAACGGTGACAATTACGGCATTTATGTTTCTTGAAAGGACAGAACTTGACAAAATGCCACGAACCACAGTGCCAGCACACTGAAGGAGGTTTAGCTGAATTCTGAGACTGACGTGCTGTGTGCTTAACGGTGATCGGAGGACTTTTCACTGTGTTAATTGAACCAAATTCAGACGACTGTCGTTTGCACTCCACCATAGCAGTATCGTGCTTCAAGTTGATTAAACGTAGGCATTCTGCTGTCACCATTTGTAAAGTCATTTTCGGGTCTTGTTCCACGAGTGACAGAAGTCGAGTTCGTATGTCAGTATCTTCTGGGTTCTTCAACCCACAAATAAAAATCAAACACTTGAACTGATCTGATGTCATTTCGTGTGGTTTGAACCTTTCACATTCCTTGTTCACTTTGCCAGCGTAAATCACATAATCATCGGAAGGCATTTTTGTCAACTGAAAACACTGATACCGAATATTAAACATGGATGACTGTTCACCAAAGATTTGTGATAAAACGGTGACTGTCTCATCGAATGATAACTCACGTGGGTTCTTGGGCAGAATGAAGTTAACATATCTGTTGTGCTCAACAGTACCAAGTTTTCTTAGTAACAATCGGACTTTGGCAGCATCATCAAACATGTAGCATTCAATACGGAAAACGTCTTCGTAACGATTGAACCATGCATCAAATACGAGACCAGATATTGGGTCGTAGTTGAACTCACTGATAGAATTTGAGATGCTTTCATATTTGTCAGAATGAGATGTTGATGGAACTTGAATGGACAGCTTCTGAGTGAGAGCTTCGAGTAATTTTAGTTGAGCTGCTTCATTCTGAACTTGCTGCTGCTGCAAGATAGATTTGAGATCGTCCAGAGAGATAGACATTGTAATTGGGTTGTAATTAACACAGTCAAAAATGTTATATAGCTGCGCTGAACAGAATAAAAACTGTCGTCGTTTGCTTGCTATAACTGCGATGAATTAAAGTAAATCCCCGTCGCCAATTTGTTATAACTGTAGGGAATTCAAGGAAGACGTTTTCACCTTGCTCTGTCTGCGCCTGAACTAATCTGCCTATCTGCTTGTCGTACCTTTCGATTTAGTCAAGCACGCAAATATCAAAAGACAAAGGCTGGACTGTGACTGTGTATTGAAGTGCAACAACGACAAAGAAAGCCATGGTATTTATACATTTTACAACAATATGGACAGCTAACAGCATTTGAAATAATTTATCTTAATAGCCAATAACA